TTTTATTTAATTCAATCTATTTGCTGTCAAATATTGCTTAATTTATAACTCTTAATATTAAAAAATTTAAATATAATATTAAAATTTTACAATAAAAATGAAAATTATTGAATTTATTTGTTGAAACTAATAATTAAAACATAACTTAAAAAATAAAAATAATAAAAAATATGCAATATAATTAAATAGCATAATAAAAAAATTAAAATTTACCTCAATTTAAAATTTGATATTTATAGAGTAGTATTTCCTAAAAAAATCAAATATAAATTAATTTAATATTCACATATAAATTCAACCAAATAATAAAAATAATAAAAATTAAATTTTAGTTTACATAAATAAAATTTATATATCCATTGTTTATCTCCCAATAATATTTCCTACAAAACAACATTAAGAAAAAAATAGAATTGTAAATTAATTGATCAATTGTTCAAATTAAAATTAAAACAATTAGGAACAAAGAATAGAAGAGAAAAATAGAGGGAATTAAGAGGATATAAACCAAAAATAATATGAATATAATGTAATTACAAACAAAAAAAAAATTCAATAGCATTTTGATGCAAGAGGAAGGAGGAGAGACAGATAAGGGAAGAAGAGAAAGAAGAAGAAGGAAGGAAAGAAAAATTGGGCAGACTATGCAGTTCTGGGAATATATAAAGCATTTTACTTATGAGTTTTTAGTCGGAATTAATTTATTGACGTAATTCACATAGACACAAAGTTGTATCAATGGGAGTAGAAAAAATACAAAAATTTTGGAATCCCACCTTTTATTTACAAACAAGATTCAAGTTGGTATCTCAAAATTCACTGACCATATCCATGTTGGAAGTTAAAGTGCAAAATAACAAATTCTAATACCAAATGGACTAATCACAATATTTGATAGTCAAAATTATTAAAAATATATATATATAATTTACATAAAACATTTAGATTCAATACAAAAATAAATAAATAATAATAATATTACTTAAACCTTACTTACCACTACTTGATTTATAAACTATGAGAGGAAAATAGTTAGATTTTGCATGACTTGTTTTGGTGGAGAAAATGGGAGGAAAGAGAAATGCAGCCGAAGAGGAAAATGAAAATGGGAGGGGAAGGGGGGGTTCAGCAAACATGAGGAGGATGGTAAAATGAAAGAGTTGACCACCTCCTAAAGGATTATGGCGGAAAATAGATCTACTAACAACATACTAGCTTGTCAATAATTAAAATGCTGCAAATCATCACTAGACTGCCTCACAAGTACCATCACCTTGCCCATTACCTATTTCAAAAAAAAAAAAAAAAGTACCATCACCTTGCCATCAATGAGAATGTAATAGAAAAATCAACGTACTAACAAGTTTCTTGTCAGCATATTAAGACATAATCACCGATCATATACACATTGCATCATGACTATATTTCTGATATTAACTTAAGTGAGTTTTATTGATAAAAACAACTTTGATTACTGTCGTGTAAAATTATATAGTTTTAGTATTACCAACAACATTTATGTTTGTATAAAACTAATTTACTAACAAAGTATTCATCTAAATTTTAAATAATATAAATTAATGTTAGTTTTACTGTTTTATTTAATATAAACATATTATTTATCAATAAATTAAGTAGTAATTCAGCGATAAAAAATTTTATGTCAGTGATATTTTAACCAATAATTTAAGATTTTTTAATAGTGAAAACTCCGCTGCGGAGATACAGCTTGCGTGAATCTTTAATCATGTGACAATATGCAACTCTTCTGGGAAGGGTTTAAGGAC